CACTCGTATTCTTCGTAGATGTGATAATATTTTTGGAGAGTCCGAAACATAACTTATTCATTATAACAAAAGAGGGTTTTAAGTTACTGCAGAATAAGGAACCTGGTTCTCTGAAGAAAAGGCAAAGCCTCAATGAGCTAGTAATTTAAAAAAAAACAATTCCGTTTTGAGCATTTCTTAGATTCTGTTGAATTATATGAATTTATCTTTTTAAAAAGAAAACTACACTCAGTTTTTCTTTCTACTTTATTTAAACTACTAAGAATTTTTTTTTTTTTTTAAACCTAAATTGAGATATTAAATCAGGATGACATAAAAAGCTGTCAAATAAAATTATAATCAGCAAATATTAATTTTATGTTAATATGCTATGATATTAATATATATTTGACTATCGAATATAATTATTTTTAACCAACAGCAAAAAAGCGTATTCGGCTCTTATTTTTCCTATTGGACCAAGAATGAAGCAGCCCATTAATATGATGGGCCCAAAGCCCATTAATAAAAAATGCACAGACAGTCAAACGCAATAGCAAAACCCCACTCTTCACCGTCACATTTCAACCATGGCAACGCTTAAAGAGATCTTAACACGCCGCCCTATCTCAGCCACGATCCGTCTCACCGTCGATGCGGGAGCAGCTAAGCCCGGACCACCAGTAGGTCCGGCTCTCGGTCAGTACAAACTGAACTCCATGGCATTCTGTAAGGACTTCAATGCTAGGACCCAGAAGTTCAAGGCTGGAACACCAATGGCGGTGACTATCACCGCATTCAAGGATGGGACTTTCGATTTCATCGTTAAGTCTCCGTCAGTAACTTGGTACTTAAAGCAGGCCGCTGGAATTGATCTGGGAAGTGGCCGCCCGGGCCATGTAACAGCGTCGACGTTAACCCTAAAGCACGTTTATGAAATTGCGAAAATCAAGCAGAGTGACCCTTTTTGCCAGTACATGCCTTTGGAGTCAATTTGTAAGTCTATTATTGGGACGGCGAATTCTATGGGGATTAAAGTTCAGAAAGAGCTGGATTGATTGAATCTGTTGTGTGGGTATTTCTGTATCTTTCTCTTTTTCTTTGTAAGATTTTTTGTTGGAAATGAGAGTGATAAAGTTGTTTAAAGCAATGATTTTGTTGTGTAAGGAAGCATGATATGTTTTAGGGATGTTCTCCTAGCAATAAAGATAACTTTTTTTGAAGTTCATTAGAGATATCCAAGCAAATTCATTGCTTTTCATAATATACTGTTGTGAATCTTAGAGCAGAATGAGCTAACACATGTCGATTATAATGCCACTCTTTTTTTCTATTTTTGTGTGTAATTATTAGGGCATGTATTCCCTCAGATAGAACTAAGGATGAACAATTCCTGTACAATTTTTTTGTTGATGCACATTCTTTTACAATGTTAGTATTCCCTCCAAGTAGCATTTTGGTTAGAGAAAGGACGATTGTGGTTATAAGGATGTAGCTTGGGAATAGTAGTTGATATAGTAAACCTGCTTTGTGGTGTTAAGACATACTGATTCATACTTGGTGCATGTTGTCACAACTTATTTTGCATCTTGAATTGTATGTTTAACCCTTTGTGTCTGGCTGTTTTTTTGGGTACGTCCAATAGAATTGGAATGATAGCATTAGAGAATCTAATATTTGAAAAAAAGAACACTACAAAAATTTCCCGTATCGAAGTCGCTCCTGATGCACAATTGGGGATTGCTGTCTGTTTTTGTCACTGAATACAATTAGACTCTTTAGGGTTTCCTTGGGGATCCCTTACTTGAAATTTTAGTTGGTTTATCTCATATGTTTGATCTGTTAGATTGGCATTCTTCTAAGGATTAATCAGCACATTTTATGGGTCATATCCTCCTCATAAATTTTGGTTTACCTGATTTTAATACTTTTCCATTGGTGATAGTCCATGATCTTAGTTATCTAAAATAGACCTATTGATATTTTCCTAACGTCCTCGTGTTGAAATAGATTCCTTAGCCACCTCTTGCATTTTGCATCGATTTGGCTGCTTGGTGTCTGTATTTATGTTTAATTGTCGGTCCCCTTTGCATCGCTTTGCTGTTGAAACCGTTATTGCGGTTAGATTTTCTTTGCCTCAGTCTATTCTTTCTCATTTTTTGCCCATCAAGTTTCCTGTCGAGAGGTGTTTATTGAGTGCCAGGTTTGATCAGTGATTGCATAGAAGTATTTCTTAATTCAAACCATCTATAAGCCTATGTTTGTTAACTATTTATACTTGATGTTTGTTAACTATTTATACTTGGTATCATACTACAGCGTGCAATTACCAGGATTTATTGAGAAAAAAATCTAGCTGAAGCCAGAACTTTGCTGGTCTTATTATTGTATCAGATACATATCCAAGCACCTTAACTGGAAGTATGACTTTTGTTACTTTTAACATTGTGAACTTTGACTTTTACTTGAATGACCTGGTCGGTATAGTAACTTCATTTGATCTAGACTGTTGATGCTTCTGCTTTTGACATTTTTCTTTCTAGTTTTGGGCATGAAAGAACAATTCTTTAAATGCTATGACAGCAATATGTGGTCCGTTGATTTTTGGTATTTTTGGGTGTTACTGCTCTGTTTTATGTTGTTCTAGTTTTCTTAAACCTAGACAATCCTGGACGTATCTGCATTACACAATTTTACGTTGGGTAGAGGAATGTCGTAAATCTCATGAACACTCTAGTGTTGCTTCTCTTTCTAGTGTGAAGTAGTCTCTTGTTTTGTTCTGTTGTGCCCACAAGTTTGCTCCAGGGTTACTGGCATTTATGGTTTGTTGCTAGTCTCTGTTTTCATCTTTCTGCATAAAATGAAGTTTCATCCTTTTTCCAAAGCAATGGATATATGCCTGCTTGTGAGGTATATCACCAAAGTGGGTATGAATTCCACTGAAATCTTATCTTTCTCAGGTTTGTATTTTAGATAGAGCTGTTTCCAAGAAAGTATTTTTCAGTTCATTTGGAATCTTGAAAGATCTTTTTAATGGTCTATATACGCAGACCTTATCACTATCTCGTGAAGTTAGATTACGACTCCAGGTCATTACAAAAAGAAACAGTGACCTTGTCCCCAATGTTTACTATCTTCATTATCAACAAAGTACCCAAACAAATAACCCAAGACGAGTCGCCACAAATGGGGTTAAAAAGAGCAAAAGTTAATGAAAAGACAGAATCTTCTTATCCAAAAGGGGATTCTAATTGATGAACCACCCAAAATAAATTTTGGCACTTGTTGATTTGACGATAACAAGAAATAAAATGAACATACTTCTGGATATTCTATGAGTTGCTGTGTCTTTTCTTATTATCTTTTAATATCATTTTCTACCATCAAAACGCTTAAATATTCTTGATGTCTTCTAAGATATTATGCAAAATATTTAAGCACACAAATGAATAGGTCAATAATATTCAGACACATTTCCTAATGAAAGATCTTTTAGGGTTGGTGTTTGTTTTGTATTTGAAATTAACAAACTTTGAATACAAACTGTTCAAGTTTTTCAAACTAATTCTCTTCGTATGAAAATTAGAGTATGATTATTGTATTTTTCATGAGATTTTTGTGCGTAATAACTATGCAACGTGTCTACTTCCTTTCTTTATTTCAATGATGATGATGGTTTGACAAAATTATTGGCAGAGCCTCCATAAACGACCAATTCAAAAGTTTTTTTTGTTCCTTCTAATCTAATAATAGAAGGGAGGAAAACAACGTTTTAATGATCTTATCATTTCCTCTTTTCGACCACAAACAAACAAAAATGAAAACTTTCTCTAACTTTTGGTTACGTAGTATCTCTACTTTTTAATGTTTCCTTTATTACACAAAGTCTCTCTTACTTAAATATACTACTAATATACAAGTAAGGTCGTAAAAAAATATTTAGAGATCGTTTGGTAGAGTGTATTAGAAAATATAATGCATGTATTACGTGTGTGTATTAGTAGTACCTTGTTAAGTACACTTTTTCATGTCATGTATCTATTGTGTATTAACTTATGTATTACTAATATCAAGAAATTCTAGGTAATAGTAATACATAGCACTTTAACACTTGCATTAGATTATATAGTTATAAAACTACCCTTAAAAGCCTTTTCATTTTCTTTGTTGTCATAAGTTTTTGTTTTTATTTTGATTTATTTTTTTCGGTGTCTTTTTAACTTTTTATTGGCCTAAAAGGTTTTATGACCTTTTAAGTATCTTTTTTTTTAACAAAAAAAATTCGATTTCGATATAATTTAATTAAATTTTTTACTATTATGACGATAAATTTGATAAAAAATTATTTGTCAACTTTCCACAAAATTATTTTGAAGAAATAGTATAACTGTTTAATATTATTTTTGAAAACAAAAAAAGAAGAAGACAAAGAGTTAATGATGTTTTAGCAATTTTTTTTTTGATGTTTTTGCAAAAAACTTTATTGCAAAGGAAGTGTACAAATAAATAAGTGTGAAGGGTATATTTGTAAACATATATTTTTAATAAAAATTATGTAATAATTGTTATTTCAAATACGTCAAAACCAAACAATGTATTAGAAATAATGCTTGCATAATTGATGCAAATATTACTAATGCAAGCATTACTAATGTATTCTATTTTTCATTATTATTATATACTCTATCAAATGAATTCTGTATTTTATTCACATCTACTTATCCATTATATATAAAAAAAAAATAGATGTATGCTTTTACTTAATTCATTTAAAACAATATAGATATAACATTTTATCTTTATTTTACCAAGTACCATTCATGTTAAAATTTATAGTTTCTTTATTATTTGAAAGTGATTTTCTTTAAATGGTTCATTCATGACCAAAATTAGAATAAGAGAAATTATTTAGTATTTGAAATAACCAACACAATTGTCACTATTTTATTTTTCTTTACCTTGTTTGATAGTTTCAACTTGCACTGATTTGGAAATCTTACAGCTCTGCATGCCCCCACCATATTTCAACACACCCCACAGCCGTCGGCAGCTTAAAGACTACAATCTTGATTCAAAAACTCATACCAAATATACCTTGTTTCCAAGAAGATTCAAAAAGAGCAAGAGAAAAGATTCAATCTTGATTTTTTTCTTCTTCTTGTTAATCAAATCTTAAAGTTTTGATTTTTAATATCTGGGGTTTGTGTAGAAGTTTGATTGGATTCTTGATTTTGGGATAATAAGAGTATGGGGTTTAAGAAAGATGAAGCAAGTTCATCTTCTCATGTTTTGAGTATCCCAAGAGAAGATACACCACTTCTTGGCAAGATTCAACATCTTTCTTCTCCTTCCAAGACTTTTGCTAATGTTTTCATAGCCATAGTTGGAGCTGGAGTTCTTGGTCTTCCTTACACCTTTAAGAGAACTGGATGGGTTATGGGTTCTATCATGCTCTTCTCAGTTGCCTTTCTTACCTACTACTGTATGATGCTTTTGGTCTATTCAAGGCGTAAGATTGAATCCCACATAAAAGCTGCAAAAATTTCATCTTTTGGTGATTTGGGGTTTGCTGTGTGTGGACCTGTTGGTAGATTGTCTGTTGATCTTATGATTATTCTATCTCAAGCTGGTTTTTGCGTTAGCTACTTGATTTTTGTGGCTAATACTTTGGCATATTTGTTCAATTATTCAATTGCAAAACCTGATCCCAAAATCTTGGGACTTTCACCCAAGGCAGCTTATATATGGGGCTGTTTCCCATTTCAGTTGGGATTGAATTCAATACCTACTCTGACCCTTTTAGCCCCTTTAAGTATTTTTGCTGATATTGCTGAATTAGGAGCTATGGGTGTGGTGATGGTTGAGGATGTGATGATTTACCTTCAGAACAGGCCTGTTCTTGAAATGTTTGGTGGGTTCAATGTGTTTTTCTATGGACTTGGTGTGGCTGTGTATGCTTTTGAAGGGATTGGTATGGTCTTACCTCTGGAATCAGAGACAAGAGACAAGGACAAGTTTGGGAAAATCTTGGGATTGGCAATGGGCTTCATATCATTGCTGTTTGGTGCTTTTGGAGTATTGGGCTACTTTGCATTTGGGGAAGACACTAAAGATATAATCACTACAAATCTTGGGCAGGGATTGCTCAGCACCTTTGTTCAACTTGGCCTTTGCATAAACCTGTTTTTCTCTTTCCCCCTTATGATGAATCCAGTCTATGAAGTAATGGAAAGGAGATTCTGGGAAGGCAGGTACTGTGTGTGGTTGAGATGGCTTGTGGTTTTAGCAGTGACTTTTGTTGCATTGGCGGTGCCCAATTTTGCTGATTTCTTGTCACTTGTTGGGAGCAGTGTGTGCATTGTTTTGGGATTTGTGTTGCCTTCTTTGTTTCACTTAATTGCGTTCAAAGATGAATTGAGATGGTATGGTTTTGCTTCTGATGCTGCATTGATTGTCATGGGCACAATTTTTGCCGTCTATGGAACCTCTTCTTCCCTGATGGAGATCTTTGCAAAAAAAGCTTAGTTTCTTTTCCTCATAGCATTTCATAAGATGTATATTGAAGAGATTGTTTTTATTCATAAGCAAAGGGCAAGTAAGTCCACACTTTGTTCCTACTAGTAATTCATTTGTTAAGCTATTATTTTTGAGTATGTTGAGGGGTGTGAGGGTCATGTTCATGTACGATTGGAATTTACTACAAGAAGTTATAATTACACAAAAATGATCTATTTGGTTATCTCCTCTTTATACTATACTCCACTTGTTATGTTATGCATTATAACATGAGGTTAAAGACTCTTGAAATTGCTTGGTAGAAATCATTTCAAAGACTTATCTATGTATGAACTTGGTTTTTGAGTTTTCTTGTGCTATCAAAGTACATAAACATTTGAAGTTCTTGCGATCATATGAACGTATCCAACTGTTTATCGAAATACATGATACGTTATAGATTTTTGTTTCATTCAATGACTTTAGTATAGTAAGTTGACAGATACTTAGTTCATGAATCAAAAGATAACACATCAATTGTTATTAATTTCATCCACTGTAATACAGTATTAATACTTCACCCAAATTAAGAAAAGGTATTTGAAGAAAATAGAGATGCTATTTATAATAATATAGTATTTTTAAAAATCGAAAATCGAGATTACCCGAGTGGAGTGGACACTAGACAAACGTGCAGATTGTGTATACCATATAAAGGAAAAGTCTTATTAGTCCAATTATATTAGGAGAGTCCCCAAATGGATTTTCTGTTATGTACAACAAAAATATTTCCTTTTTATAAATCTTTTTTGTGTTCTTGATTGGCATTAGACAACAATGGGGTTTGAGACAGATGAAGCAAGTTCATCAACCCTGAAAATACCTGGAGAGGATGTGCCTTTTTTGGGCCAAAATCAACAACTTTCTTCTCCTTCAAAGACTTCTGCAAATATTTTCATGTCTTTAGTTGGTGCTGGAGTTCTTGGACTTCCCTACACATTCAAGAAAACAGGATGGTTAATGGGGCCTCTCTTGATCATCTCAATAGCCACTCTTTCTTATTACTGTATGATGCTTCTTGTTTATTCTAGGCGTAAGCTTGAATCACAGTTTGAAGGTGCAAAAATCTCATCTTTTGGTGATTTGGGATTTGCTGTGTGTGGACCTATTGGTCGTTTAGTTGTTGATGTTATGATTGTTCTCTCCCAAGCATGTTTTTCAGTTGGATACATGATTTTCATTGGTAATACTTTAGTATATTTGTTTAATTCTTCTGTCACAGAAGCAAATCCCAGAATCTTGGGATTTTCGCCTAAATCGGTGTATATTTGGAGCTGTTTCCCATTCCAGTTAGGGTTGAATTCAGTTCCCACACTAACCCTTTTAGCCCCTTTGAGTATTTTTGCTGAAATTGTTGATTTAGGAGCTTTGGGTGTAGTGATGGTTGAAGATGTGTTAATTTACCTCAAGAACAGGCCTAGTTTAGAAATGTTTGGTGGATTCAATGTGTTTTTCTACGGTCTTGGTGTGGCTGTTTTTGCTTTTGAAGGGATGGGATTGGTGTTGCCTCTGGAATCTGAGACAAGAGACAAGAACAAGTTTGGGAAAATATTGGGTTTGTCAGTTGCCTTTGTAGCAATTTTATATGGTGCATTTGGAGCATTGGGTTACTTTGCATCTGGGGAAGAGACCAAGGATATAATCACCGTAATTTTCAACAGGGATCGGTTAGCAGCTTGGTCTTTGCATAAACCTCTTCTTGGCTTTCCACTGATGATGAATCCAGTTTATGAAGTGATGGAAAGGAGATTCTGTGAAGGCAGATACTGTTTGTGGTTGATATGGCTTATGGTTTTGACAGTCTGTTTTGTGTCATTGACAGTACCAAATTTTGCTGATTTCATGTCATTGGTTGGTAGCAGTGTGAGTGTTGTTTTGGGGTTTGTGTTGCCTGCTTTTTTTCACTTGATCGTCTTTAAGGATGAGCTGGGCTGGTATAGTTTAGCTATAGATGCTGCATTTATTGTCATGGGCACAACATTTGCAGTCTATGGAACCTCTTCATCCTTGGCAAAGATCATTTCAGAAATGGCTTAGCTTTTTCTTTATTTTTCATGTGAAGATATTTTATAAGATGCATATTTTGCAGCCTGATTAATCTATTGAGTGAAACTACTCGTTAATGGCAGAAAGTGGAGAATTTTATCAAATAGCTCGGTTAGTTGGCTATCTATTTTATCAAATAGCTCGGTTAGTTGGCTATCTGAAGTAAGTGATGCTTCAATTCCCACATTGTAATCCGCTACACCATACCCCCTAATTTTTTCTTAAGAAAAACACGCTTTAGTGGCAAAAGAAGATTTACCTTTGTTCTTTCCATACTAGTATAAACAGCACATACCAACAAGAAAAGAAAAAGAAAAATACAATATAAGAACACTTCTTTTACTATCAATCCATAGTTCAATTAGTTAAGCAATACAACACAAGTGACAAGATGGGAGCACAAAATGCACCCAAAAAAAAAAGAATCAGTTACAAGGATCCCAAATCCACTCATAAAACAAAATAACTCTCCAATATCAACTGATAAAAAATGCTCATTATACACTTTATACATTCAATATGGGTGACCAGCAAAAGTTGTGTCCACCTTGAAGTTCCGAAAAAATAATGTGGTGGAAAAGGTCAAAATTCACATGGAATATTTTTTTAAAAAAATAAAATCAAGCTAACAAATAATAGTACAACACAGCTTATATCTTGATAGCAACGCATGCCGCACACATGTTTTATCTAGTCACAACATTACATACCTACAAACAACAAACTGGCCAAATGATAAAAATGAAATAGAATAAAATGACTTAGCACTAGTACTCCATCATCCCGTCAAAACGCTTTCCAACTATCAGAATCTCTCCTTGGTGTCTGACTCTCGGCCGACGTCTTAAATGGGTCATTTGAACCGAACGGATCCGCATCATCAAAAGATGTGAAACCATGACGATGATCTGTGTCCCTGGTACTACTCATGGAATCAAACCTACTTAGTGATTCGCGAGGAGGAAAGAGCCCAAAATTATAGTCAGAGTCTGCGGTGCTGCGAAATGAATCAAACCTAGCAAATGAGTCCCGTTGCTGGAATGAACCATGATCGTAGTCAGAGTCTCTGGTGCTGCGCATTGAATCAAATCTTGAAAGAGAGTCACGGGTGCCAAAGGGGCCACTATCATTCATGTTAAAGGGATCAAATCTGGAGAAGCTGTTCGAGTTTCTTCAAATCTTTCCACTATGTCTGCGAGGCGAGTTTGTAGAACTGTACATAGGTGTGCTGGGAACCGAGTCCCCAAAGGCAAACGGACTCTTATTCTGGAACATATTATCTGCATTCGGGGAGCCTCCTGAATTATAAGCTGGTGTGCTAGGAACAGAATCAAAGAAGGGACTTTGCCTCGAGAACAAGTTATCAGTCTGAGTGAATCCAGAGTTGTAACTTGGGGTACTTGGAACAGAATCAAAGAAAGGGCTTTGCTTCGGGAATGTGTTGTCTGAATAACTGAACCCAGCATTGTAACTTGGAGTGCTAGGAACAGAATCAAAGAAAGGGCTTTGTTTGGGGAACGTGTTGTCTATCCCAGCATTGTAACTTGGCGTGCTAGGAACAGAATCAAAGGATGGCATTTGATTCGGTAGTGTGTTGGACTGTTTGGACCCCGTTTTAATAGGGGCTAAGCCCCAATCATCATCTCCAAAAAGAGAAGATTCCTTGAGATTGTCATGATCTGAATCCTGCATAAACAAAGAAAGTAAGCAATATAACGTGGACTTTCAGCTTTCAAATAATGTCAAAGGTATTCTAAGAAACGAGACAAACTCTGCGAACGAGTAGAAGGTTGCCTAGACAATAATGTTCTACAACATGATAAGGTCTTCATCTAACCAAGCAGTTGCAAAAGTGAAAAAGAAAATGCAAAATAATCTATTTTTACCTTTGCAACAGAATTGACGTCCCATGCAGCATCAGTGTCAAAGTTGGTATCAAATGTACCCCAGCCAGATCCATCAAAACCTTTATCCCTCGAGAACACAGATTCAGTACCCCAGTGTTCACTGCACTCGTAAAATCAAACGAAGAGATTCAGATATCTAGGGAACTACACAATAATTTGTAGAAGGTGAAAACCCTCTACAATTAAGTATTCTAGGCAACTTGTGGTCATCGCAAAACAAAAGAACGTGGTATACTGAATCACAAAAACTAGGAAGAGAACCACCATATTACCTTTGGGCAGCATTGGGTGAACCATCAAAACTAGTCTCCTTCCTGTACAGAACATACTCAGAATTCTTTAATAGGAAAAAGAGAGCATGATAGACTAAATGACCTAAAGAAGAGAGAACCGCCACATTACCTTTGCGCACCATGGGGTGAACCATCAAAACTGACATCCTTCCCGTACATAGACTCTTGGACTTCTTTTGACGGGCTTTCAACTGCATTACTCCTTGATGGACTATCAGTTGGACTTCTTGCTGTTTGCTGATGTCCATGTGCAGATTCCATGTCACCAACTTCTCTAGCTTGTACATGGTTTGACAGCTTATCTATCTTTGCATCAGTATCAGCATCAGCAGATGATTTTCCAGAATCATGTTCAGCTAAAGAAGATGCTTTCTCACGAACCAATGATGACTTTGTTTTAGGAGGGGCAATGACGTTTTTCACATCGAGTGTCAGCTCTTTCACAAATGTGAATCCTGGAAGAAAAAGAGTTCAACAACGAAGTGAGCCAAATTTGCGCTCACATCCAAAAGCAACACAAAGAAGAAATAAAACTGATTCACTGGCCTCTGGAGGCATTTTGAGTGTCAGCACTTCGATTAACAAGCTGACTTCTTAAAACATACCTTCATCTTCAAACTTATCCCACTCTTCATCCCAGTCTGCTGCAACCTCTTGGATGCCTGGTTGCCAACCTTCGAAAATACAAATAATAGTATGAGAAAGCATTTGAAAAGAATTTACATCAACGAAAATCACAGACAAGAAAACACATTGAACTTAGGTATCATAAATTTAATGCTTGTGCCAGTGGCTAAAGTTATATACATCACACACCTCCTACTTGGCACTACAAATTGCAGACCAACGGAGAATACACACGGATCTCCAAAGAAAAATATTAGCATCATACCATGTACTAAATGGTCATGAGGTAAATATAAAGAGGGAAGACCTCGTATTTTGAATTTGAGGTTTCTTTAGAGAAATACTGGCCAAAAGAGTCAAATCCATAAACAGTCGGTAACAAGTTAATTCTAATGCCCCAATAAAGAATACACTCAAATTGGCTGGAAGAATGAAAGGCTTCGGCTTGAGATTGACTAGTGAATTTTGGATCTCTGTTATAGGAGGTCGAATGTCCAGCTAACGTGCCTCATGGAAAATTCTTTTTGCAGGCCCGTCCAGCTCATTATATTATTAGCCAAGAATCAAGATAGGTGAAACTCAAATGGCACTTCTTAAACAGAACAGACTCCGCTAGAATCACAATTTCTTCCAGGGAACCATTTTTTATCATCAAGATTCTTCTCAGGAACAATAGTTTAAGTCACAATTCAGCACCCAAAAACAAGGCATTGGAGTTATATTTTTGAAACGATCTTTATTAGATTTTACTGATTTCAAAATAAAAATATAGCAATAGATGAGACAACCAAATGAAAGCTCATATCTTCACACTAAGTATAAAAGACTTGTATAATTACCAAATGGAAGCTCAAGCAGTGTAGTTGGTTTAGCTCGTAAACCATAAGTTTTGCACCGTTCATTCAGTGATTTTACTAGCTCCTCAAGGTTCACCTGAATGTGACTAGCACGGTCCTATAAAAGAGAAATGATTGCTTCAAAAAAGTTCAACTTATCTCTTCCAAATTGAGTAGTGAGACAATATTCCAACCTGGATACCATCAGTCTTGCCATCTTGATCCATTTTAACAATTTCCTTGTATAGCTCCATTTTTTTCTCCTATAAAAGGTTCACCAACATAACACCATTTAAACACAGGCCAATTTCACATGATTTAAAAGAAAATATGAGAAAGGGAAGTTAACTTTACACCAATGCATTTGACAAAACAAATCCACAAATACCTGAATATCCCGAAAGGTGGCCTCTTCAATGGTCAATTTAGAAGCAACGTCTCCTGTCTGCTTGTATTTCTCTTCATATTTTTTAGCCAATAACTCAACCTGTCAAATTCTCCATTTTAAGTTAAACAACATATATGAGATGTGGTTTCCCTATGTTGAGAAAAGTTTTTACCTCTCTTTTGTCAGCAGAAGTTCTTTGGGTGATCTCATTTAGTCTATTGTCGCATCGACTTTTGTATAAAATCTGGATAAAGAAATAACAGGAGAACGCAGACCATTTTAGCGTTGTAGGATCTCTTCTTTTGGTATACAATTGTTAATGAAATTATTTACCTTAACAAAAGAAAGCAATATCTAGATCCCTGAATATAATTGATTGAAGTTGAGGTGCATAAAGATCAGACACTCACTATTTCTTGCATCTTTGCATGGTAGAACTGAATTTTTTCTTTTGCTTCTAAAATTTCCTTCTCCAATTCCATGACCTTCAATATTATAGCATAGAGGGAGGAAATTATATTAATTAATGTTGGCAGTTACAAGCACTTGGAAGTAAAGAAGCACCAACAGACATAAGAAGAGGCTCCACTAGAATTAAGTTAAATTCACACTTGAAGATCAGTCTCAGGTCCTCCATAGCATCAAATTAACAATTAAGGAAATTTAAAAAATGCCAAATATTCATTGATTATAGTTCTCTAAACACTGACAAATAATCAAAAGTTAGTGCTACAACTGACATGATAACCAAGGAAATTATGACAAGACAAACACAACAGTATCCATGCCATGCACATAATTCACATTCTGAAGCAAATTAAATGTAGCATTGTTGTTTGACACATCAGACAAATTATTTGTCAATTGGTTCCGAAAGAAAAGTGTTCATTTGCCTTCTAGTACATCAGTTTCAACAAATAAATACAATATAATCTAGTGTTGAAATAAAAGAAGACAGAACACACCAGCAAATACTGCCAAGTTTCCTGCAATGCACAGAACTGCATCTAGGTGCAAGTGTTAAAATGGCAGTCGCATTCACACACTTCACTAGTAGACACATACTGTTCAAGATTTATCTCAAATTGCAATTTGTTTTCTCACTTGTTTGGTTAAAGACCCAATTTGTGAAATGTAAATTTAGATAACCATGGGGAAAAAAGGGAGTATTGGAAGAACTGAGAAAAGAGCAAGGAAGAAAGGAAATGGTAGCCAAGAACAGTTAAATTTCACCTTCTTTTCTGCATCAGTTGCTTCCTGGAACTTTGAACTCAATGCATCCTGTTCCTCTTGACTAAGTTGGTCCACAAGATGCTTCTCCAGTGCAGGAACTTTAGGCTTCTGTTGACCAGGCTGCACAACTTCATTGGGCTGGGGAATAGGAACTGGACGTGGAGGCCTTCCTGGAGCGCCAGAAGCCATCTGTCCTGGAACAACCCTTGGCCCCTGTGTTTGCTGGGTGGCTGGAAATGAAAAGAATCAGGAAACTAAATCAAAAGACAAGAAACAGGAGGAGAATTATCTAGACTGACATGGATACCAAATAACATACTACCGAAGTCCTAGACTGATTGACAGTGCTTTTTCTGCTATACAATATACACTAGAATTATATCGTGCAATACGAGGACAAATTTTTAGATGATGTTAGCTTTCCTTCTTGAAATGAGGAGGAAGAGAGTTTGATTTAGGAACCGGAACTACCT